GGAGGCGCGGGGCTGAGCGGGGTGAGCGGTGCGGGGCGCGTTATAGTCTCTCGGTGAATAGGGAACGGTGCAGCTCCGGAGATGGGCGCAGACGTAGCAGTGAGCGCTCGGGGAGGGGAAGGGGGCGGCGGAGGGGGGGCATCGCACTGTACTGCTTTGGTTTTGTTTTGGTTTTTATTTTTCTAGGAGAAGTTAGATTGCAGCTGAAGGAGAGAGGTCAGTATCTCTTCCAATCAATCTCTCTGTCTGTCTGACGCTGTCCCCATCTCATCCCGGCGAAGGGAAAAGCTCCAACTTCGCTCCTCCGCGCAGTGCGTGCAACTCCGCTCCCGGCGTATAAGGTTGTGGCCGTTCGGTGCCTTATCTGAGACGGGAAAATAGCAGCGCTCCTTCCAATCACGGGGAGAATTGGTCTCCTCCCGTTCAGTTGTTACATATATATGTATTTTTTCTTTGGGTCTCATTTTGGAACTGCAGTTGACAACTTTTTATTTAAAACCACTTTACCAGGCACCACTTAATGCATTATTCACGTTTTTAAAAATGCTTGAGAGAAATCACCTTAATGAAGAGAACATTTGCGGTAATTTGGTGATAATTATCAGAATCGCCAAACATTCGCAGAGGCTGTAGCGTTACGTGTTGGAAGAAAAGCAAAGCGCATTATTCTAATGGTCTGATATGCAAACTACGGACCGTCTAATTATAACCTTTAATAGCGCAGACGCGATGCGGTGCCGCTGTTGGGACGGGAGGGCCGCGGCCGTGCGCTCCGAGGACCGCGTGTGCGCCTCCATCCAGCGAGTGCGTTCCCGTGGAGCAGGGCCCTGCCAAACCGCATTTAAGAGAATAAAAATTAATGACTGCGAATTTGAGCGTTAAATTAACATTAATTATATGACCTGCCTGCTGGAAAGATTAAATTTCTTACGCCCTAATTAGATAACGTCTCCTCATACATCAAACAATTTCCTTTTCCAGATTTCGGTATTAAAATGCAGAATGGGAAGAGCGGGGCCGCTCCGTGGACGGCGCGGGGTGAGCGCTCTCGGCCGGCCCCGGGTCGCGGCCCTCAGTGGGGGGAGGGAGGTGCGGCCCCGGGACCCCTGCGCCCCCCTCCCGGCTCCGGGCTCGCGGGCAGCGGGAGCCGGGTAGGGAGCCCCGACGGCTGCCGGGGCCGGGCCCGGGGGCGGACACGGGGGTGAGCGGCGGGGCCGTGCCGGCGGCGGGCCGGGAGGCTCGGTTACAGGGCGTCGGGTTGCAGGGTGCTGAGCTGGTGTGTCGGCGGCTTATGCACTAGGGAAGAAAGAAGGGGGGGGGGGGGGGGAAAGAAAAAGGGAAAATAGGGAAAAAATGGAAAAGGGGGGGAAAAAGGGGAGGGGAGGGGGAGGAAAAAAAGGAAAAAGGAAAGAAAAAAAAAAAAAAAAAGAAGAAAATTCGACGAAAAGAAAAAGAAGGAAAAAAGAAAAGAAAAAAAGTGATAAAAAAAAAGAAAATAAAGATCGGAAAAAGAAAGAAGAAAAACAAGAGAAAGAGAACAAAAAGGAAAGAAAGAAAGAAAGAAAAAAAAGAAAAGGAAAACTAAAAGAAAGAAAGGGAAAAAAAGAGAAAAAGAATAAAGGAAGAAAAAGAGGTGGGGAAGCTTCTCCCTAACCCCCCTCCCCCCGGGTGGGATGCTAGTGGTTGTGCGGGGGGTGCAATGCTGGGCAGGAGGGGCAAGTTCTGGCTGCAGGAAGCCCTCTGCCCACATGGAAGGAGCTGTGAAGAGGAATCGTGGCATTAGAAAGCGTTGCCTTGTTCCCACTTCATTTCCTAGTACCAGATAATTGCTTTTTCAACTCAATTGAGACTTGGTTTGTATTACTGCTGTTACCGCTCCTCTGCGAGCTTCTGTGTCTGTCTAAGACACCCGTGTCTCCTGTTAGTCTCGTGCTTGCTCTCTGGACGTGGTTGATAACAAATGATGTTCAGTGCTAAGTTCAGTAATGGCATCCAGAAAGTGCACGGCGAGGAGGTGGCAGTGGCGACAGGAGGGAATTGCCACGTTCCTGGGCTGTCCCTGTGCTCCATCAGCTGTGGAGACCTATAGGCCGTGTAGCTGGGCCCTTCTCCTTCACCAGACTGATGCTACTGCTCTCAGGTGAGTGAATCTTTCTGATGAACAGCAGAAAGGTTTTATTTAAATACGATGGCAGATAAAGTCTGGCTGACAGCAGGCAAGGGCACTGAGGGCAGCAGGAGTGTGCAGCACGTGGGGTGTCCAGGGCTGCAGCATCTCCAGCAGCACAGCTCCGGCAGAATGTCCATGCCCCACTGACAACCACCACCACCCAGACACAGCCCAACAGCACATGTAAAGGATCCTGAGCAGCACAACAGCACACTGTGGGAGCAGCAGAAGCCCTTATCCTTTGAAGCCCCCCAGTTTGCCACTCCTCCCAGTCTGACAACAGCTGCTTTCGGAGGCTGTTTTCATCCCTGGTCACAGTGAGGTCCCCCAACACTTGCATGGAGAAGAGGGCAGAGAAGGTGATTCTGTAAAGCTGTGGTCCTCACCCAAAGCACACTTGCAGGTATCCACACTGCAGCCTATTCTGTTCAATAACCAAGCAATTGGGCCAATAATTTTGTATTGACAGGAGAACACATAACAGCTTCTTCCCTGAAACTGCAGACATGGACATGATTCGATGTCCCTTTCTCTTCACTGCTCTGAGATACAGCTCAGAATTTAAGGGTAGTTTTAAATATTTGCAACCCTGCACACATTCTCACACTCTACTTAATCCAATGCTTTTTAATGAGCTGAATCACTCTCCTGTTTGCAGAACAGGATGGACAGAGTCTTTGGCTCAAGTGTGGTAGAGGTGAACCCATAGCTGAGGCTGTCGATTGCTGTTCAGGGCTGCCAACTCAACTAGCCGAGATTTCTGTGCTGCTCCCACACAGCCTGTGAAAGGCAATCAGTCTTCTTGGGAACAGCTCAAATAATTCATGTACCATCATAATTGTATATTCCTGCTAAAGTGACACTGAACAGTCAATTCTTCAAGAGAAAAGATTTGCCCATCACCCTAGGTAATTGTGAGCGCTGCTTATCTAAAATAAACCACCCTGAAAGCCCCATGGTAGTATATGTGAATGGACAAATGGGTGATAATTCCCAAATCTCAAGCTCACTTACTGCAACAAGAACACTCAGCATGGCAGCTGGAACCAGCCTGGGTCCACCTCCCTTCCCTACCAGACCCTTGGTGTGATGAGACTCTGGCTGTACAAACCCCCTCCTTCAATGTCTGCAGTGCAAACATACAGCCACTGCTGAGATGGCACCTGCACTACAGTCGGCAGCAAATGCGATGAAAGAGAGCTCACCTGCTTGCATGTGCTCACAGAGCTGTTCACCCACTTCTATTTGCTGCCACCCCACAGGCTGCGCTTCAGCAGAACTTGGCTCAAGGTGCCTTGTTTCAGCAGCTGCACAGAGGACGGCTTCTTAGTGATTCTGTAGCTCAAAGGTGTGCAAAATAGGTGCCTAACTGGGAATAAAATTATCATAAGCACGATTATGCCTGTGCTGAAAGGACAAGGTCAGGAGGAGAATCCAAAATGTCAACAGGACTAGTTGGTGATGGATTGTCCTAGACAGAGCTGTCCAATGTTATACATCACAAAAAGTTAAAAGATGATGGAATTTATATGTTGGACTCGTCAGTTCGTACCAGAACCTAAGGAGCAGCAGCAAAACCAGGCACAGTGCCTTTGTCTGTCTGGCATGCGTTGGGATGTGTGGTGAGGATGGCAGTGAGGGATCTCCTGAGCTGGCAGAAGCTTCTGCATTTGGCACCAATGGTCCCAGAAGCCACTGTGCTCTCCCTGCTCCAGATCCACAACCCACTCTCCTCTAGGAAATGAGGTCTTTCTGCAGCCTTGAGGTCCTTGTGTTGGTCCTTTATTCCATGGAGACAGTCATTGCTATCTCATAGCCCATGGACCAGTACATCAGAGTTGGGCCAGACTGCTCTAAAGAAGCTCAGAGCTGTTCTGGGTACCACCCCCTGGTTGTTTCTGCATGGCTGCTTGTACACCTCCTACAGTATTTTCTTTTTTTTTTTTTTTTTTTTTTTTTTTTTTTCTTACAGCCATCTTTTACACTAAATCAACACATGTATCCAGTAAACATTCCAAAAAACCCTGATCACAAACCACTGCTCATACTTTATTTTGGGAGAGGTCCTTATTCACTTCTGTTGAAAATGAGGAAAGCAGAATATTAATGGTTGTTCCATTTCTAGAAAACACCTTCCCTTCCCTTCCCTTCCCTTCCCTTCCCTTCCCTTCCCTTCCCTTCCCTTCCCTTCCCTTCCCTTCCCTTCCCTTCCCTTCCCTTCCCTTCCCTTCCCTTCCCTTCCCTACC